TGGCTGCTTCTGGCTACTGCAGCCTCGACCTGCTGGGCTCCGGCGATCCTTCCGGCTCAGCCTTCCAAGTAACTGGAACTACAGACGCACGCTACCACGCCTGGCTATTTTTTAAAATTTTTTATTGTAGAGATGAGGTCTCGCCAAGTTGCCCAGGCGGGTCTCGAACCTCTGGGCTCAGGCAATCCTCGCCTCTGCCTCCCAAAGTGCTGGGCTCAGGCAATCCACTCACCTTAGCTCAGGCAATCCACTCACCTTAGCTTCCCAAAGGCGCGGGATTACAGGCTGAGCCACTCACCTCAGCTTCCCAAAGGCGCGGGATTACAGGCTGAGCCACCGAGCCTGGTTAATGAAAACATTTTTTTAAAAAACCTGGCCTTTCTCACATCCCTCCTTCCCTGCTAAGGCAAACTCCTCTTCTCCTAACTTTCTATTCCTTCCTCAGCGAGAGAGCCCCCCTGGCAAGCTACCATTCTGGACATGGCTGGACAAAATTCTGGAACTGGTGCATGACCACCTGAAGAATCTCTGGAATGATGAGTAAGGCCAGGATCAGCCTTCCCGCGCAGGCCCTGGCTATCTGGGCTTGAAAGTGGACTCTGTCGCCCTCGTGTGGCAAGCAGACAGAGCAAAAATGGGGGAGGTCATGGCCCCTGCCCTTTGTTATCCGAAAAGTGTGGCCAGCATTGGTGAAGCATGGAGTCCCAGAGCCTGTAGGGTGCTTTTCGTTAATTCTCTCATTTAGACCTTAACAATCATGCTGAGTGGTGGGTTTTGCCACCTTCATTTCAAGTGAGGAGACTAAATCTCAGAGAGGTTAAACAATATACCCAAGGGACAGAGTTGATATTCAAACCCAAGACCCACTCTTTTCACCACCCAACCTACCCATTTGTAAAGCACTTGGCCTTCAAAAGTGCTGTTCATGGCTCAGCGCGGTGGCTTACAACTGTCATCCAGCACTTTGGGAAGCCAAGGTGAGAGCATCGCTTGAGCCTAAGAGTTTGAGACCAGTCTGGGCAACATGGCAAGATCTCGTCTCTACAAATAGTGGGTTGTGGTGGTGCACACCTGTAGTCCCAGCTACTCAGAGGCTGAGGCAGAAGGATCGCCTGAGCCCTAGAGATTGAGGCTGCAGCAAGCCATAATTATGCCACCGCCCTCCAGCCTGGGCAACAGAGTGAGATCTGGTCTCAAAAAAAAAAGTGCTGTTCACCTGTGTGATCTTACTGGACCCCTGCAACCCTTTGAACTCTGGGAGGGCGGATTCAGGAAAGTGAAGTGACTTGAACAAGATGGAAAAGTTTCTAAGTGGCAAGGTGAGGTCCAAACCCTGGCGCTCTTTCCCCTTAGGAAGGGAATGGTGGGGAGGGGGCCGGCTGGGTCTCACAGCTGCTTTCTGGGCTCCAGCTACATCATGGGGTTCGTGAGCCGGAGCCAGGAGCGCCGGCTGCTGAAGAAGACCGTGTCGGGCACGTTCCTGCTGCGCTTCAGTGAGACGTCAGAAGGGGGCATCACCTGTTCCTGGGTGGAGCACCAGGATGATGGTCAGTCGTCCTGCCCTGTGGTTCCCAAGCCTCTCCCCTCCTAAGCCCCTCACCCTGGGCATCCCTGTCTCTGTCCTGAATCCCTCTGCATGTCTGGGGGCGGGCAACCAGGATGGTGGGGGGGGGCTCCCAGGCCCAGCCTCCCGCCTCAGGCCTGCCTGCTCTCACTCCAGATAAGGTGCTCATCTACTCCGTGCAACCCTATACCAAGGAGGTGCTGCAGTCACTCCCGCTCACTGAGATCATCCGCCACTACCAGCTGCTCACGGAGGAGAACATCCCTGAGAACCCACTGCGCTTTCTCTACCCCCGAATCCCCCGGGATGAGGCTTTTGGGCGCTACTACCAGGAGAAAGGTGGGAATTGTTGCTATTCCCCATTGGGGGGGATCCTCAGACGTCCCTAAATCCAACTCTCCTTTCACCCACGGGAAGACTGATATCTGGCGAACTTATGGGGTTTGCCCATGGCTAGCTGTCAGTTAGTCAAGTGTGACTGTCAGAAGTGTCAGTACTGGGGGACCCCTGGGCTGCATCCAGCCTACTGATCTCCCTTACCTCCTGTGTTTGCCCCCAACAGTTAATCTTGAGGAACAGAGGAAATACCTGAAACATAGGCTCATTGTGGTCTCTAACAGGTGAGATGTGATCACCCCTCCTCCCTAATCCTTTCCTGCTAGGGACTCTAACCCGCCCACTCTCAGGCTTTCCAGCCTTCTCTTCCTCCTGACCCACCCTCTCCAGCCCTCTAGTTTTTCCTCTTCTAGTCTCTCTCCTCTCTCATGTTTTTCTGCTGCCATCCTGAGGTCACTTCCAAAGGGGTTTCCAGATAATAATGGTCACAATCACTGGTGTTAATGGCACCTACATGATTCGAAGCATGGAACTAGATTTTTGTTTTGTTTTGTTTTTGTTTATTTGTTTGTTTTGAGTTGGAGTCTCACTCCATTGTCCAGGCTGGAGCAGTGGCATGCTCACGGCCACCCCAGTATCGACCTGCTGGGCTCCAGCAATCCGTCCACTTCAGCCTTCCAAGTAGCTGGAACTACATGCATGTGCTACCATGCCAGACTAATTTTTTGATATATTATAGAGACAAGGTCTCACCAAGTTTTCCACTGGTCTCGAACCCATGGGCTCAGGCAATCCACTCACCTCAACCTCCCAAAGTTCTGGGATTACAGGCTGAGCCACCAAACCAGCCATGAATCTAGTATCTTCACATCATCAGGCATTAACGTCTCATGACTTCAGGTGGTGGGCTGGAGGTTGTCATGGTAGTAAGATAACAATATACCAATAAACATGCCTCCTGGTGGTGTGCTGGAAGTCGTTATGGGTGGCCAATAGCAGTGTATCAATACAAATAGATTGTTAGCAAGACTAGACAAACTTAAGGGATTCTGTGTAATTACTGGTTTTGTTTTTTTTGAGTTGGAGTCTCACTCTGTCGCCCAGACTGGAGGGCAGTGGCACATTCCCGGCCACTGCAGCCTCAACCTGCTGGGCTCTGGTGATCCTTCCGCTTCAGCCTTCCAAGTAGCTGGAACTACAGGCATGTGCTACCACACCCAGCTAATTTTTGTCTTATTGTAGAGATGAGGTCTCGCCAAATTGCCCAGGCTGGTCTAGAACCCAGGGGCTCAGGCAGTCCACTCACCTCAGCCTCTCAAAGTGCTAGGATTACAGGCTGAGCCACTGAGGCCAGCCAATTATCAGTTTTTAAAACTATTTTTCTTATTAATGATTATAGGATAAGGCCGGACATAGTGGCTCACGCCTATAATCTCAACATTTTGGGAGGCCAAGGTGAGAGAATTGCCTGAGCCCACAGGTTCGAGACCAGCCTAAGCAACTTTTCGAACCCTCATCTCTACAATAAATCAAAAAATTAGCTGGGCATGGTGACGTGTGCCTATAGTTTCAGCTACTTAGAAGGCTGAGGTGGAAAAATCGCCTGAACCCAGCAGGTTGAGGCTGTGGTGGCCGGTAGCATGCCACTACCCTTCAGGTTGGGTGACAGAGTGAGACTCCAACTCAAAAAAAAACGATTATAGGATAAAAGGACATGTGGGCCATGTAAACTTGTAGCAAGGAAATGTTAAGGGATGAGGCCTAAGCAAAATGGTTGTGCTGATTTAAAATGGCTATGTTATATTTTTAATTTCTAAGATTTCCTCTTTTCATGAATCTTCATAATAGCCCCGTGAGGTTGACACTGTTTTTGTTTTTTTTGTTGTTTTTTTTTTTGAGTTGGAGTCTCACTCTGTCGCCCAGACTGGAGGGCAGTGGCACATTCCCGGCCACTGCAGCCTCAACCTGCTGGGCTCCGGCAATCCTTCCACCACAGCCTTCCAAGTAGCTGGAACTATAGGCGTGCGCTACCACGCCTGGCTAATTTTTTTGATTTATTGTAGAGATGAGATCTCGTCAAGTTGCCCAGGCAGGTCTTGAACCCACGGGCTCAGGCAATTCACTCACCTCAGCCTCCCAAAGAGCAGGATTACAGGCTGAGCCACCAAGCCTGGCTCTTCTTTCTAAATAAACTATATTTTTAATAATAACTATTATTATTATTATATATTGTTTTTCCCATTTACAGATGATAAATCTGAGGCTCAGAGAAGCTAGGTAACTTGCCTGAGGTCACCCAGCTAGTAAACGATAGGATTCAGACTCTAGCAAGCATGATTCCAAAGCCCATGCTCCTTGGCCCTCTGCTCTACTGCTTTCATGTGCTAGAGAGACAGCCTGTGCTCACTCTACCATTCCCTACTGCACTCAAACCACTGATCCCCACCTCTCTGCTGGTCTTGGGGTATCCAGACAGGTGGATGAAGTACAACCACTGCCGGAGCCTTTGCTTGGACCAGAACTGCAGCCATTGAAGCTGGAACCAAGGCTGGCGCCAGAGCTAGAGCTAGACCTGGGGATAGAGTCCCTGCTGGAGGCAGGCCTGGACCTGGGGTCAGTGCTAGAGTCCAGTCTGGAGCCCATGCTGGAGCCCACACCAGAGTCTGTGCCGGAGCACATACCATGTGTGGTATCACAAGGAGTGCCAGAGCCAAACCCAGGACTGATGTCACAGCCAGTGCCAGAGCCCGATTTGCCCCAGGACCTGAGACACTTGAACACTGAGGGAATGGAAGGTAAGTGATGAGATGGGGAAAGGGAAGAGGGTACACATTCCCTTCCCCACCCCCCCTTCTGCATTACTGAAAAGGCTGAGCTCCAAGGAGAGAGGCTCATTCCCTGGCAATCCCTTTTATTGGGAATTCCCCATGCCTTTTTGCACCTCCTTGTTCCTCCATCCCCCAAGTTCCCTGTCAGGCCCCGTCCAGGCCTTTCCTCCTTCACTTTTCCTGCTGGACTGGGGACTCCCAACTAAGACCAGGGCCTGACTTCTCTCTCTGGATTACCTAGTCTTCAGAAACTCTGTCGAGATCGAAGAAATCATGCCAAATGGTGACCCACTGATGGCCAGCCAGAACGTCTCCGATGAAACTTATGTCTCCTATCCCAGCCATTTCTACACGGATGGACCCTTGATTCCGTCTAACTACTAGGAACTGTTTCCTCTGTTCCTTTCGTACCTCTTGCCCCCACACCATGATGTTGCTCCCCAAGGATGGGAAATTAGGCACGTGTCCCTTCTAAGCTGGGTGGACCCTTCAAACCCAGGCCTGTGTGACTCTGTTGGGGTGAGAGATGAAAGCATGACACAGGCATGGAAGAGACAGCAGGATCAGAACAGATGCTGACCATACTTCTGAATAGAATCCTGGAGGCAACCTGCTGTGCCAGGAGGAGCAGTGGTCCAGGAGGCAGGCCAGGGTAGCTGGGGGTCCTTGGAGGGTTCACAGTAGTGGCTTCTTTCCAGTATGGTAGGACTTCAACATGTTAATAGCTGATAAGGCTAATCTGGTGCACACTTGCCACTGGCCCTTTTGGTGGGGAGCACAGACACCGGATAGGACTCCATTTCTCCCTTTTGATTCCTTTATATGTGGATAACTTGTCCTGTTTTCCTCCCTTCATTCCTGACTCAAGTCCTAAATCTTCTTTTCCTGCAGGAGCTGAGAGCTTTCTGCCTCAGCCCTGCCATGTGAAGCTCCACCCTGAAGGAGACAAGAGGTGAACCTCTTTACCATGTCTTTGCTCTGCCCATTCCTCCCCCCATAAAATGATCCTGCCTACCTAACTTGCCTGTGAAGCTTTGCATAATAATTTATGTTGGCTAGTGTCCATTTTCCCAATGCTTAGGAGACAGATTGCTCCTGGCAGGGTTGGTGGGGTTGCTGGGAATTTATGACTTGCTCTTTATAGTATTGGACAGTTTGGTGTTTGTACAGAGGAAGATAAGCCCTAGGTCTTAGATTTTTCTCTATTATGATATCATTCCCTTTCTTTTATACTTACATATTGTTTATCTGAAAGAAATGTTTATATTCCACCCTGTGTCCAGGTCCCTGGACAAAGGCCAATTTTCTGGAATGCAGAACCTTGAAGGTTTACATAGGACTCTGGACTGGTTAAGTGTGGTGACTCATGCCTGTAATCAGAGCACTTTGGGAAGCTGAGGTGGGAGGATTGCTTGAGGCCAGGAGTTCAAGATCAGCCTGAGCAACATAGTGAGACCTTGTCTCTATTAAAGGGGAAAAAAAAAGGACTCTGGGCAACCTTACACCTTAGCCATTTCCAGGGAACCCTGGAGGTAACTGCCATCTCTAAAATGTGCATCTGGTGTCTCTTGGGTATAAGCGAAAATGAGGCCCTGCAACATGTGGCTGTTTCCTGTCTGTTCAAAAAAGAGCCCTTCTGAGCAGAAATGGCTAATAAACTTTGTGCTGACCTGGAAGTGTTTCATCTCTGAACTTCTTTACTTCTCTGCTCACAAAAACTAATGTCCTTGGGGATACCAACAAACCATGTAGGAATGAGGTAAGCAAATTGTGGCCTCTTTTCCACACACCCTTGTATCCCCTTCTTATCATGTTTCCTGCCACTTAGACTCTTCCATGGGGGCCTGTGAGCTATATCTGGAGGGAGGGAGGAGTAGTTTCTATAACTACCCCAATGTTACTCAGCTGGCTGGTGGCAAAACCAAGATATAAACATGGGTCTGTCTGACTCCAAAGTCCACACTTTTCTGATGCTGCAACTGTGGAAAAAAAAGGAAATAATCACTAGCCTCTTCCTCTCCTTTTTTATCCAAAGACCGTTTTGCTCCCCTTGAGTAACCAAACTCCTTTTAAAGGAGAATCCCATTGGGTAGGGAGATTTACCTTCACCTCCCTGGAATGCCCTTCCTGCTTGAAACTCAGATAGGATTTGCAGTGATTAGGGGTCCTATCTTTTGCCATATATACTCTTAGCCAAGAAAGCAGGGAAGGCAGCCAGGTGCAGTGGCTCAAGCCTATAATCCTAGCACTTTGGGAGGCGGAGGCGAGAGGATTGCCTGAGCTCAGGGGTTCAAGACCAGCCTGAGCAACATGGTGAGATTTTTTTTTTTTTATCTCTACAATAAATTAAAAAATTAGCCGGGCATGGTGGCACATGCTTGTGGTTCCAGCTACTTAGAAGGCTGAGGCAGAAGGATCACCTACCCTGCAGGTCAAGGCTGCAGTGGCTGTGAGCATGCCACTGCACTCCAGTCTGGGTGACAGAATGAGACTCTGACTCAAAAATAAAGATAAAAAAAAGCAGGGAAGGGAACATTAGATCAGGGAGCAGGGGATACCTAAGTGTGACCCATTTCCTAATCTCAACTCCTTATCATGCTCCTCTGTGTGTCCAGCCATGTAGGGATTAATACCTAAAGGATCCCAGTTATTCTATACACCAGAGATCATGAGGAAATATCACTCTCCACTGTAGTCCTTTAGAGCAGAGTCCCTGGCCCTACTTTTCCATCTGTTTCTCTTTCCCAATCGAGACCAAAAATTACACTCATAGAGTCACATAAATAAGCCTTTATTGAAAAAAGTACATAATTCAGTATAAATATAATAAATACTCTTCTTCTCCAAACTGCTCCCATGAGGATAAATCATCCCCAAATGTCCTTTCCCATCTAATAAATATTCAGCTTTGTCACAGGTCAACATCATAAGTCAGTCAGTACTGGTAATTTTTCAACATGTGCAAGTCCCATTAGAATGGATGGACTAAGTAATTTGCTGGCTCACAGGTACCTGGGGTGGAAGGTGCATCTTGGCATTGCTGAGACGTGGAGATCTGAGTGCCATCCTTAAAACACTGGCATCAGGGGCTCAGGGTTGCTGCTCCGTGGGCAAAGACCCGGGCAGCTACAGCCACAAAGGCCTGGAGGCTACGAAGGATCTTGAAGCGGAGAAGGAGGCGCTGCCATGGTTGGCTGGGGCTGGGGTGCAGAATCTGCTGAGACTCCCGGTGGTAACCTTCAGGCTGAGAAGACACAGCACTCCGTCAGAGAGGACTCAACATGCTTAACTCTCTGGCCCCTGTCTCTGACACCTGCAAGCCCCCATCCTCCAGGCCCCTAGGTTCGTACCTGCAAGAGCTGGCTGAGGCCCAACAGAGAGGCATGAAGCTGGCCCACAGGGCCGTCAGGGAGCAGAGAAGGCTCCCCTGTGAAGATATCCGATCCTAGCAGCTTCTCATAAAAAATCAGACCCTGGTGGATCCTTTGCAAGCAGAACTAGGGAGAGAAGAAAGCGATGAAAGAAGTTGGAGACGTCTTCCTACTCCATTCACTAAAGACCCACCCAGCAACTCCTTTCCATTTTCAGACACAACTTCCAGTTCACCATGGTGCCAGCCATGTTCCCAGTCCCCTTGCCTTCATGGCCCAGCCTCATCTTGGCGGTACCTGACTGTTGTCTTTGAGTCCTTGGGGATCACAGCCATCCGCACACTGGATATGCGGGACATCACTTGTAGTCTCTTCATCTCCCTCTTCTCTTAGATCCTGGAATGGAGAAGGGAGTGGGAAGAATGAAGAGGATGAGCACTTCTGAAACCCACCTGGACCCTCAGGCCCAGGACTCTCCCAGGATCCTCACTCTCTGTCTTCTCTCACTCCCTGTTGGCCTTCAACCCACCAGCTTCCCCCCACAGCCAGAGTCTTCCATCTCAGCTTTGAAGAGGCTCCTGCTGGGCCCCAGGGGCTGCACTCACCGTGTGTCCCACAGGCGGATGTGCACTCCAGGCCAGCGTGCAGAGCTTCTGCGACAGCTGCTGGCACTGAGCCCACGACAGGCTGCTGTCCCCAGGCACAGTCCGGCCCTGAGCTGTCCAGGCCAGCAGCGCCAGCAGCATCACGGCTCCGCTCCCTGGCATCTCGCTGCCTGCTCACAAGGCTGGCTGACTCCGTGCCCTGCACCAGTCCTTGTGGAATCTCTGCCCACTTCCACTTGCTCTGAGCCTGGTTCCCTCTATTCTCTCTGGCTTGGTTCCCTCTGCTGTTCACCGAGTTTCTGAGCTGCTTCCTGTTGTTTTTCTCCCTTTGTCTCCAGGTCCCTTTTTAAGGTCCCTGCACTGTAAGGCCCGCCCTTTATGCTAGCAGGTGACTCACAGCAGGTGGGATTCCCCTCCCTGCATCATCCCCCTCCATGGGGAGCCCAGGTATGCAGCCCCAGCTCCAGGGGAAATGAGTGTGTGGCTACTGTGGCTGGCAGCCTGGGATGGGACGCATATGTAATGCTCTCCAGGAATCGAAAAGGCTTTGGGGGGGGAGAGTAATGAACATTTAAATTAATCTGGTCTGAAGTTCCTTCCTGTTTAATCTTTCCATGATCTTTTTGCTTCTCGAAGCTATATCCCTGCCCCACCCCAAACCTAATTTCCTCACTTCCTCCTGCCTGAGGAAAAACCAGAGAGGCCTTCATTCATTCATCTCCCAATAGGATGGTGAGGTCAGTATTTTTTTTTTGTCGGAGTCTCACTGTGTTGCCCAGGCAGGAGGGCAGTGGCACACTCACAGCCACCTCAGCCTCGACCTGCTGGACTCAGGTAATCCTCTCACAAAGTGTTGGGATTACAGGCGTGAGCCACTACGCCCAGCTGCAAGCTCAGTTTGGAATGAAGTTTGATTCCTACCTGATGCCCCCTATATAAGTATGAGGGGAGACAAAAAAATCAAAAAAATTAGCTGGTCGTGGTGGCATGCCTTAGTCCCAGCTACTTAGTAGGCTGAGGTGGAAGAATTTCCTGAGCCCAGGAGTTAGAGCCGTGATCATGCCACTGCATCCCAGCCTAGGTGAGACTCCCAACTTAAAGAAAACAACAAAAACAGGGAGGCTTCTTTTTATCCATGGGAAACAAAATTCTTTTCACTAGATGGTCCTGGTTTCACAGGAGAGAATGAACATGGAGGCCCTTGGTGAACTGGGAAGCCATGTAAGTGCAGTACGAGGTCTTATTGCTCCTCACCCCTGGCCTTGCAGTACAGGTGAGGAGGGCTCTTGTGGGAAGAGGGGTGTTGGCTAGGAACCACGTGATTCTTCATCCCTAGCGGCCCAAGGTTCCATGGGCTCTCTGGGAGTCAGGTGATGATTTCTTTAGGATGCTAGTGAAAACAAGAGCAAGAAGTTCAACTTGGACATTTCAGCATCCAGCCCCTGCCCCATAGCTCGGAAGCCCAGCAGGCCTGGGTGGTCGAAGGTGTGTAGTGTCAATGACTCTGGCTGGTCCTTCAGCCTGTTGCAGCCGCGGGTAAAATCCGCTGACACTGATTTCATCACCCTCTGATGCAACAGCCAGTGAGTGTGAGGCTGGGCGTGGGAGCGGAGGGTGGTCCAAAGCTGGGGCTGCCCCGACCCCAAGGGAGGGTCCCAGGACAATTTGGACGTCAGAATGAGGCCCTGGGTGACCACACAGCTGGCTCCCAAAGCCTCCCCAAGAAGTCGGCCCTTTTCTTCTCAGAAACTTAACCCTCAGTGGCAGTCTCCCTTCCCGTACAACTATTCAAAACTGCCCAATGGAACTTGTAGTTCAAATGTTAGGATTCTGAGGTAAATCTACACTTTGGATGAAACATTTCCAGCATGAGAAAATTATTTCAGTTTGGGTGAGAAAAGATTTGCCTTTCTCCTGCAGAAGGTGGTCAAAAATGGAATAAGGAAACTGGAGGGAGGGAAACGGGAGTTCACCTCATGTATGTCAAGTGTCTCCTATTCTCTTTCCACCTCTGGTACCCAGACTGGGAGCCCTGAAAGAGAGGAGCTGAAAGAGAAAGAGGAGGAAGTGGAGCCCTGGGGGATGGGATGAGAGGGACAAGGGTGAGTTGGAGGCATGGGGGTGCCTCTTTGTTTCACTTCCTGGTGCTGCAGGAGTTGGGTAGGAAGCAGGGTTGGTGGGGAGATTGTGGGACTGTTGTGTGGCAGGAACTACTTCCAGGGCTACAACTGACCTGGAGCTGGAAAGAGCCCCTGACGTCAGCGGGGCCTCAACCGTTATGCAAATCACATTCACACCCCTAGGCAGGCCTTTCCAGTTGGATGCCAGACTCCAAATCCAGCAGAAGTCCCCCCAGGTGGTTACTAATAGTGGCTAATGTATATGTAACTCTACTGTAGGATAAGTATTAGTACTTTGTCCAAGCAATTTATATGTATTAAGCCATTTAATTATCACAACCCTTTAAGATGGGTACCATTACTATCTCCATATTACAGATGAGGAAATTGAGGTTCAGAGATAAGTAATTTGCCCAAGATCACAGAGCTACTAAGTGGCTAGAGTTCCTGTGCAGACAATCTGACTTTGGATCCTGCATTCTTTTCCATTTTGTTTTGTTTTTGAGTCGGGGGGGGGGGGGTCTCACTCTGTCACCTAGGCTGGAGTGCAGTGGCATGATCACTGTGGCCTCAAACTCCTTGGGCTCAGGTGATCCTCCTGCCTCCGCCTACCAAGTAGGTGGACTACAGGCATGTGCCACTACAACAGGCAAGTTTTTGTTTTGTAGGGGTGAGGTCTCGCCATGTTGTCCAGGCTGGTCTTGACCTTCTGCGCTCAAGCAATCCTCCTGCCTAGGCTTCCCAGAGTGCTGGGATTACAGGCAGGAGCCACTGTGCCTGGCCAGATCCTGCATTCTTTTTTCTTTTTTTTTTGAGTTGGAGTCTCTGTCGCCCAGGCTGGAGTGCCGTGGCACACTCATAGTAGCCACCCCAGCGTCGAGCTGCTGGGCTCCAGCGATCCTTCCGCCTCAGCCTTCCAAGTAGCCGGAACTATAGGCGCACGCTACCACGCCCGGCTATTTTTTTTGATTTATTGTAGAGATGAGGTCTTGCCAATTTGCCTGGGCTGGTCTCAATCCTGCAGGCTTAGGCAATCCACTCGCCTCAGCCTCCCAAAGTGCTGGGATTATAAGCTGAGCCACCAAGCCCGGCCAGATCCTGCATTCTTTTTTTTTTGAGTTGGAGTCTCACTCTGTCGCCCAGACTGGAGTGCAGTGGCCGCTCCCGGCTACCGCAGCCTCGACCTGCTGGGCTCCGGCAATCCTTCTGCCTCAGCCTTCCAAGTAGCTGGAACCACAGGCGCACGCTACTACGCCCGGCTAATTTTTTAAATTTATTGTAGAGATGAGGTCTCACCAAGTTGCCCAGGTGGGTCTCGAACCCACGGGCTCAGGCAAATCACTCACCTCGGCCTCCCAAAGCGTGGGATTACAGGTTGAGCCACCGAGCCCGGCCGACTTATACATTAATTAACCCAGGTATCTCAGACTCTGTAACTCTCACATGTCTATGAAGTCTTACTCAATTTGAGACCTCAATATGGAGCTGAGCATGATGGCTCATGTCTGTAATCCCAACACTTTGGGAAGCTGAGGCAGAAGAATTGCTTGAGCCCAGGAGTTCAAGACTGGCCTAGGTAACACAGTAAGACCTCATCTGTACAAAAAAAAAGGTAAAAAATTAGCCAGGTGTGGTGGCGTATGCCTGTATTTCCAGCTACTTAGGAGACTAAGGCAGAAGAATCATCTGAACCAGAAGGTCAAGGCTGATGTGAGCTGTGATCCTGCCAATGCACTGAAGCCTGGGTGACAGAGTGAGACCACACCTTAAAAGGAAGGGAGGGAGGAAGGAATAGAAGGAAGGAAGGAAAAGAATGGAAAATAAATGAGACATCAATATGGAGATTTCTTTTTTTTTTTTGAATTAGAGTCTCACTCTGTCGCCCAGACTGGAGTGCAGTGACCGCTCCCGCCCACTGCAGCCTCGACCTGCTGGGCTCTGGCGATCCTTACGTCTCAGCCTTCCAAGTAGCTGGAATTACAGACGTGCCCTACCACGCCTGGCTGATTTTTTGATTTATTGTAGATCAGGTCTCGCTGCCCAGGTGGGTCTCGAACCTGCGGGCTCAGGCAATCCACTCACCTCAGCCTCCCAAAGGTGCAGGATTACAGGCTGAGCCACCGAGCCTGGCTTGGAGATTTCTTAAAATGTAGGAACTGTCCAGGTTTCTCAGCACCCACCTTTTTGTGAAATCTTTTTTTTTTTGAGTTGGAGTCTCACTCTGTCGCCCAGACTGGAGTGCAGTGGCCGCTCCCGCCCACCGCAGCCTTGACCTGCTGAGCACTGGCGATGCTGCCGCCTCAACCTTCCAAGTAGCTGGAACTACAGGCGTGCGCTACTATGCCCAGCTAATTTTTGATTTATTGTAGAGATGAGGTCTCGCCAAGTTGCCCATGTGGGTCTCGAACCCACGGGCTCAGGCAATCCACTCACCTCAGCCTCCTAAGGCACAGGATTACAGGTTGAGCCACCAAGCCTGGCTCTTTTTTTTTTGAGTTGGAGTCTCACTCTGTCGCCCAGGCTGAAGTGCAATGGCACGCTCATAGCCACCGTAGTCTTTACCTGCTGGGCTCAGGCGATCCTTCCATCTCAGGCTTCCAAGTAGCTGGAATTACAGGCATGCGTCACCACACCCGGCTAATTTTTTGATTTATTGTAGAGATGAGGTCTTACCAAGTTGCCCAAGCTGGTCTCAAACTTGTGAGCTCAGATAATCCTCTCACCTCGGCCTCCCAAAGTGCTGGGTTTATAGGCATGAGCCACTGCGCCCAGCTTTCTGTGAAATCTTAAGTCTAATAACCTGTGAAGTTGGATTAGTTTGAGACTCTGTGTTAAGGTGTTAGTTATTTATTTATTTTTAAGTTTTTATTTATTTATTTAGAATTAGAGTCTCACTCTTTCGCCCAGGCTGGAGTGCAGTGGCACACTCATGGCCACCACAGCCTCTATCTGCTGGTTTAGGCGATCTTTCGGCTTCAATCTTCTAAGGAGCTGGAACTACAGGTGTGTACCACCACACCCGGCTTTTTTTTTTTTTTTAATGTAGAGACAAGGTATCGCCATGTTGCCCAGGCTGGGCTCAAACCTGTGGGCTAAAGCAATCCTCTCGCCTCTGCCTCCCAAAGTGCTGGGATTACAGGCGTGAGTTACTGCTCCTAGCAAAGGTGTTTTTCTCTTGGTCTAGGACATCTGACTAAGTCTAAGACCCCTCTGAGTCCTGGAAATCTAAATCCTTCCATCATTTTATGAAAGTTTATTCACCAGTGTTTATTGAGAGAGAGAATACTTTTTTTTTTGAGTTGGAGTCTCGCTCTGTCACCCAGACTGGAGGGCAGTGGCATGCTCTTGGCCACCACAGCTTCAACCTGCTGGGCTCTGGTGATCCTTCTGCCTCAGCCTTCCAAGTAGCGGGAACTACAGGCACACGCACACTACCATGCCCGGCTAATTTTATTTACTGTAGAGACGAGGTCTCACCAAGTTGCCTGGGTGGGTCTCGAACCCGCAGGTTCAGGCAATCCACTAGCCTCGGCCTCCCAAAGTGCTGGGATTACAGGCTGAGCCACCGAGCCCAGCCAGAGAGAATGCTTTAAAACCGTGTCATGACTAGGCGTTGTGGCTCACACCTGTAACCCCAATACCTTGGGAGGCCAAAGCAGGAGGATTGCTTGTAGCCAGGAGTTTGAGACCAGCCTGGCAACACAGCAAGACTCATCTCTATTAAAAATAAGAAAATTAGCCAGGAGTGGTGGTGCGTGCCTGTATTCCCAGCTACTTGGGAGGATGAGGTGGGAGGGCTTCTTTAGCCCAGGCTGCAGTGAGCTATAATTACGCCCCTGCACTTTAGCCTGGGTGACAGAGCGAGAGCCTGTCTTAAAAAAACAAAACAGGTGCAGTTGCGCAAGCCTGTAACCCCAGCACTTTAGGAGGCCCAGTTGAGGGGATTGCCTGAGCCCACGGGTTCGAGAACATTCTGGGCAACTTGACGAGACCTCATCTCTACAATAAATCAAAAAATAAGGAGGGCGTGGTAGCACATGCCTGTAATTCCAGCAACTTAGGGAGAATCACCTGAGCCCAGCAGGTCGAAGCTGGGATGGCCGTGAGTGTGCCACTGCACTCCAGCCTGGGCGATGGAGTGAGACTCCAACTCACAAAACAAAACAATTAAAAAAAACCCTGTATCTTCAGTAAATAATGTCTTCCACCAGAGTCCCTCTATGTGGCTCTTAGAAACATTAACAACAGCTGAGCTAAAGTGCTAAGACAGCCCACAACCTGGACCCATTTCAAAGCAATTCAGGCCCACAAGCTCCAAGAATCCCTCAGAATAACTGTAAATCCGTTTTAGTTTTGGGAAGGCAAATGTTTCATCTCAACTTGCCGCGCTCATTCCCCTCTGAGGGACAAGGTCCAGCTCCACGAGCTGGGGAATTTGATAGCAAGGAATGGACACGGGTCCCGTTCCCCGGGAATATTACAGGGCCTCTGGGGAGGGAATGATTGCGAATGGGCCCGTGTCAGAAGTCTGGCTCCCGCTTCCTTTTTTTCTCTCCGGTATCTAGAAATGAGAGGAAATGCCAGAGTTTCGGGGCAACAGGGTCAGAGTTGGCGGAGCGTCTCACAAGACCACCACAGGGAAAGGGGGTGGACCAGGCCACGCTGGGAATACCCAGCGGTCCATTCCCAGTGCTCTGCCTTGGGATCCCCTGATTCTAGAGCTTCTAAAGCTATAGGAAGCATAAAAGTTCGGTTTCCAAGTCTGGGGCTAATTTTCTTCAAGAAGGCTTAAAAGAGAAAGGGTTACTTTTTAAAATACCATCGAGCTCGTCCCATTCCGGCCCTGTTTGTCCCCAGCGGCAGCCCGTAACCTGGAATCTGCCCAGCTCTGCGTCACGCGCTTCCTCCGGGGCCGTCCGTACCTGGCTCCCTCTGGTTGGCTGAGGCGCACCCACGACGCTTCCTGATTGGAAGCTGCGGCCGGGAGTCCTGCCTTTCCTGCCGAAGGGTTAGGTTGAGCCTAAGGCGTGGGGGACTACTGGGGGAACCTGGAATTTCCCGCGGAGCTGACAGCGCTTGCGCCCCCCCCTACTCGTTTTAATTCCACGCACTCCAAAATATCCGCCATGGAGAAATCTTGGTAATGACCCGCTCCCCGTAAGCATCCCAGGAACACATCTGACCCTTGCCCTATCCTTCCCCACCCCGCTGCCGGGGGGAAAATTCTGGATAACCGATTTCTCTGGTTCCCCCAGAGAATTCTGGGTAACTAGCCGTTTCCATCACCTTCCCTGCCCCCCACCCCTTAATTGTGGGTAATTGGCCATTATTGTTTTCCCCTAGAGAATCCTGGGTAACGATTGCAGAGGACTCTGGGAAATTGACTTATGTTCTCACCGCCCATTCTCCTCCCCACCCCTTGCCCACTCCTAACTCTGGGAAACTAGCATCTTAGATCCCTGTGCCTAACTTCAGCCCCTGCATTTCCTGCTCCCTTCACCTGATGGTTCAGAGCTGAACCAGGCAGGTGAGCAGATCTGAGGGGAGAAAAAGAGCAAGTGAACGATTTGGTTAGATAACGGGGTGGTGGAGAATTCAAAGAGCCTAGAGGAGGAGACCACCCCACTGCCCATCCCCCTTCTACCTATCTCATCTCCCTGTTTTTTTTTTTTTAAGTTGGAGTCTCACTCTGTTGCCAGACTGGAGCGCAGTGGCACGCTCCCGGCCACCACAGCCTCGACTTGCTGGGCTCTGGAAATCCTTCTGCCTCAGCCTTCCAAGTAGCCGGAACTACAGGCGCACGCTACCACGCCCGGCTAATTTTTGATTTATTGTAGAGATGAGGTCTTGCCAAATTGCCCAGGCGGGTCACGAACCCGCAGGCTCAGGCAATCCACTCCCCTCGGCCTCCCAAAGCGCTGGGATTACAGGCTGAGCCACCGAGCCCGGCCCTCGTCTCCCTCTTGCCCACATAACCTAGAAGACACTAAGTACCACTCCCTGAGCCTACTCCTGACTCAGCTACCTCTTTCCCTTTGCAGGCCAGGATATCCACCGGTGCTGTTCTGCTGAAGGTTGGGTCAGGAGTCTAAAGGGATCGTGGCAAGGGAGGCTGTGTCACAGGTGTGATCAGCTGCCATCGCCATCATGAACTTTGAGGGTCTGGATCCTGGACTGGCAGAGTACAGCCCGGCCATGCATTCTGCTCTGGACACTGTCCTGGACGCCCATCTGAATCCAAGCCTGCTACAGAATGTGGAGCTGGACCCCGAGGGAGTGACCTTGGAGGCTCTTCCCGTCCAGGAATCAGTGCACATAATGGAAGGTGTTTACTCTGAATTGCACAGCGTGGTGGCTGAAGTGGGCGTCCCAGTCTCCGTCTCCCACTTTGACTTGCACGAGGAGATGCTGTGGGTGGGGAGCCACGGGGTAAGAACTGTACCCCTTTGTGAGAGCTAAAAGGAGACACTGAAAGTCTTTATCTGGTCTAGCCTAAGGACAGGTGCTTTGTGGGCAACCACAGGTGATTGAATTTATGAGAGTTGAGTGAGTCTCTAAGTTAAGCCAAGACGAGGGGGGTGAAGAGAGAAAGGAGGAGTCTAGGATCCACAGGTAGATTATTTAGGTGTTCTTTTTCAAAAGGCATGTTACTTTTGTCACAGTTTGCCCATCCACGTTTTGGTTCATCTTAATAATTGTACCCGTCACTTAGTCTAGTCATCCAAATCCAGCCTCTAGTGTCCCTTCTATGTTTTCCATTTTTATTACTATAGGATGTTTAATGAATGTTTTTGCATATCTTACATGGGATCATTTTGTCTTCTCTGGCTGATTTTAATCTCTCTCAGAACAGTTATCAATCTTAATTTGTAAAAGTAGGTATCCACATTGCCAACATACTATGGTGCCCAAAGATTTTGGAAGAAATATTATGCTGTCCTTGGTTTACTAATGTGCCTTTCATAGGGTATTAATTACTTTTTCCATTAGAAGGGAGGAATTTTTGGTGTGTATTATTCATTCAGTCGAGTAGGCAATGTCTGTGTTACGCTAGGCACAGGGAATAAAGCTGAAGAAAACATAATCCTTGTCCTCAAGGAGGTACAGGACAGTCAGGTAAAAAAGACATATAAACAAATCATATCATGGTACTAAGTGAAAATATGTGCTGGGAGCCAGATAGCATGGAGGAGGGTTAGAGAGAGCCTCCTGGAGGAAGTGGCACCTGAACTAGATCTTTTTTTTTTTTTTTTTGAGTTGGAATATTACTCTGTCACCCAGGCTAGAGTGCAGTGGCATGCTCACGACCACCACAGCCTCGACCTGCTGGGCTCGGGTGATCCTTTCGCTTCAGCTTTCCAAGTAGTTGAAACTACAGGTATGTGCTACCATGCCCAGCTTATTTTTTGATTTATTGTAGAGACGAGGTCTCACCAAGTTGCCCAGGCTGGTCTTAAACCCCTGAGTTCAGGCAATCCTCTCACCTCAGCTTCTCAAAGAGCTGGGATACAGGCTTGAGCTACCGTGCCTGGCCTTGAACTGAGTCTTGAAAGATGAGCGGGAATCAGGTGAAGGAGATGGGAAGAGGCTGTCTTGGCACAGGATAAACAAAGATTCTCAAGACATTATAAAACGTGAGTACAGAGTGCAGGAACTACAGGTATTTAGGAGTTATTGGACTGGAAGCTGAAGAAGTGGACATTTATTCATTCAGCCAGTGTTTTTGAGCTACCTACTAGGTGCCAGACCTTGCTCTAAGGTCTAGGTTTGAAATGAACAGTAAACAAACATACAGTATATATCGGGTGTTGATTAGTACTCTTAAGAAAAATACACGCCTGGCTCGGTGGCTCAGCCTGTAATCCCGCGCCTTTGGGAGGCTGAGGTGAGTGAATTGCCTGAGCCCGTGGGTTC